GAGGGCGCGGGCCGGCGCTCGGCAGCCGCCATGAACAGCGTGGGCGAGGCGTGCACCGACCTGAAGCGCGAGTACGACCAGTGCTTCAACCGCTGGTTCGCCGAGAAGTTCCTGAAGGGCGAGAGCGCCGGGGACCCCTGCGGGCAGCTCTTCAAGCGCTACCAGCTGTGCGTGCAGGTGCGTGCGGGGCGCGCCGCCCCCGCCGCGAGTGCCCTCATGCCCCTTCGCTTTCCGCCCTAAACCTTCTCCCACTCCACGGGCTCCTCTCGCCGCTTTCCCGGTGGCCCCAGGAGCAGCCTCCGCCCGGTGCTCCCGGTTCGCTCGCCTCCTGTTTCTGCCGGTCAGGACGTGTAGTGTTTTACAGGTGTCTCTCGGTCTATTTTTCTCGTTAACGTGACTTCTTAAGCCGGCTGGCTTAGAGGCTGCGGTACCTTTGAGTGGTGGGATCTGGAAGTGTTCAAGGCCAGGTTGGATGAGGCTTTGGGCAACCTGGTGTAGTGGAGGGTGTCCCTGCCCATGGCAGTGGGGTTGGAACAGGATGATCTTTGAGGTCCCTTCCAACCCAAACCGTTCTGTGATTCTATGGATGGGAGTTCACCATGAGTTCTCTCTATGTACTTGAGCATCTCTAATATTGAAACTTTATGCAAATAAGCCTGAAGACTACTGTTTTCTGGATTGTGTTTTGTACCAAAGATTACATCACTTACCACCACAAAGATGTGTCAAGTTTAATTTTTTTTGTTTTGTTTTTCATCTTTCAGAAAGCGATCAAGGAAAAGGACATACCCATTGAAGGCCTGGAGTTCATGGGCCCAAGCAAAGGGAAAACTGAAAACTCCTCTTGACCTCAACTGTATGGGTGAAGTCACTAACGTGAGCCTTTGGACTAAGCAACGTCACCAGGCGTAAGGCTAGATGTCACCTGGATAAGACCTTTGTTAAGCTGCTTTCTCGGGAGCGAGGAATCTTCTCCGCTTATAAAACCAAACAGCCACAAAAAAATAAGAAAAAAAAACTGGATCATGTGGTAACTACTGCCTCCTTTGCAATGAATTTTGGTGGTGGTGGTTCAGCATCAGACAGTGTGAAAAGCCGTTTGAACTAACTTCCTGTTGAATGTACTCCATAATGGGAGAACGCTTATTAGATTGGGCTGAGATAGTAGTTGCTTTGTGACTGATTTCTCTTGCTTATTTGTATAACACTTGAAAGTGTTCAAAAATATGAAGGGGGTTGATTTATTTTGTTTTGTCTCTATGCTGCTGAATTTTGGCGGAAGAAGTTTGTTTTAGATGACCCTGAATGCTAAGGGGCTAAAGCACTGTTTTGTATTGGCAACAGAGATGGTATAAAAGCACACTATTGGACCTGCAATAACTTAGCTAAAATAAATATAACCAAGTTATATTTTGTTCAAGTAGATAACTGTCTGGTAGAATCTGGTTGTGACCTCTAGGAGGGACGGAGATGGCCTGCAACAGAAGCTGAAGATGACACTTTTAATGCAGAGGCTGCTTCTTCAGCTTTTTCTGAGGTACTGAAACAATCCTGGACGTGAATTCTCTCTCCTTTAGCATTATGCATTCCTGCAGTAAAACTGCAGTGCAGACCTGCCCATCCTTTTCCCCAGTACCACGAAGCACCAGGCTGGCCATGATCACTGTTAGACTGTTGCTGGTGGTACTTGAAGCGCGTGTTGAATGAGGGAAACTTTGGGTTGAAGCTCGACAGCCAATAATGTTAAAGGCCCCAGCTGCCGCTTGGGGAGCTTGCCTGCTCGTGAAGCTGCTCCTGAACTGTGTGTACTTCACACCTAGGAAAGCAATCAAAGTTCATTTGTGCTGGCTTGTAAACTGCAGAAACACTTGCAGCAACTACAAAAAGGGTGTTTGGAAGACAAGCAAGGGATCAGTGGCCCTGTGAGCATTGTGGCAGGGGAGATTTCCCTTGATCCTCATACAGGGATGGGGAGAAGCTCTCCCCTCTCATTATGCCAACACAGGTGAAAGAGTAAAAAATGTTATGGCCTGGGGACAAAAGAGAAGTTAACTTCCTAATTCTCCTAGAATTCCAGTGAGGAAAAAAGTAAGCTTCACTCTGTTTGCTTTTAAGCACTACTTGAAGGATCATTCAGAGGTTTTACTTTTTTTAAAAAAAAAAAAAAAAAGCAGTTTTCAGACATAATAGCTGGCTTGTCTGCAGCACAGCCCCTGAGTAATGACCGCAAACACTGGGAGCAGTGCGGGACTTGTGCAGATCAGGAACTGCTGGGGCTGTTCCCCGTGTCTCCAGCGACGTTCTGAACGCATCAGGTGCAGCGCTGAGGTCAGGCAGCCTGGGGTAGCGACACTCCATTTCTCAGGTGCACGAGACAGCCAGTGCAATGTCAGTACAGGGCTTGAACATAGCACTTAAAAAACAGCTGTCGACACTTAAACTGCTGGGTTACTCAGGTATAAATTTAAAAAGTGAGCTAAGAGAAAGACCTTTCCAAGAGCACTGTACATATCATTTTGGGGACTGTCAGGTATGCAGCTTTGCTGTTTTGTTTTTTTTTAAGGAATACCTTAAGTTTGCTTTTCTATGATCTTCATGGAAGAATAAACGTAGTGTCATTTTGTCAGTTAGCTTTAAAACAACTGTTCCCATCAGTGCCTCATTCTGTGCTTTTAACAAAGAAAAGCTTGTCTTAGCAATCATTTTACTGGTAACTGGATGGAATAAATTGGTTTGAAACATGAAGAGGGGTGCCCTGCAGTGCCCACTTTGAGATTCTCACTTGTCATCCATCACTCCTTTCAGCAGCAAGATGCCAAGTCAGCTGCTGGGTTCTTCCTTTTGGGAGAAACAGTATTAACGACAGCTAAGACACAGCTCGCTCTTCTGTGCCATGCAAAAAAATACAGAAGTTGCACAAGGAATTGGAAAATGGTTGACTTAGAGAAGAAAAACTGCAAAATTAACATTGTACTGGAACAGACTCAGAGCCTTGAAACTGCCTGTTGACTATGGAAGATAATTAAGCTCTTCTAGGTTAAGAAGCTTCCGACAGACACAGTATATATTGTACAGACATACGCAGTGGAGCAAAAGTTGTGTTTTCATTTGTAATGCCTGTATGAGAGACTTTGTACAATAAGACTGCAGATCTGTGAAAAGCAGAGTTGTGAGCAACGTATGTGCTGATATACTAGAAGATCTGAGCGCTGAAGATTGACACTGTGAAGGCACACAGAGCTTAGTTAGACATCTTTGCTGCCACTCCCTCTCCCAGGAGGGGCTAAGATAAAATTGCCTTCATGACTGTTACTAAATAGTGCAATAGCTGGTTATGGAGAATGTGCTTCAGTACACACTGAATTTTAATCTACAGTATTAGCCTGATACCTGTTCGTCTGGCTGGGAGCTGTGGGTTTACAGTGATCTGTTACACTAGACCTGAAGAAGATTAAATTGAGTGACGTGCCATGCTGACTGTTCCTGGTGTCAGCCTTATCAGACAGAGGAGCAGGTACTAACATTCAGGCAGGCAAACCCCTTTACTCCTGCAGTGTATCCTGTGGGAAGCCTCAATGTTTTAAGCAAACACTGAACTATGGAACTTCTAAGGACTCAGATTAACAGAAAAGTCAGATCCTAAATTGAAGTTCAGAGTCGTTTATTTAAAGGACCTCTACACAAGCACAGACAGAGGCCACAATGCCATTCAGCTTCATCGCGGAAGGAATGTGGAGTTTAAGCGATGGTTCCCTAAACGATGGTTCCCACACAACATTCTGGTCCAAGGCAGGAAGAGCCAAAGTTCTGGCTGTGGTCAGGATCTTAGTTTTCGTCTTCGTAACCGGTTGGGAGAGCATTAACATGGGGGTTGTGGAACAGAGTTTTGTTCCCATCACCCCATGGGAAAGGCTGCGAAAGAAGAAAGACAATAAGCCAGTGGCAGCTCACTGAAAGATCTGTACAGCACAGGAAATCAGCAATATGGACTCAAACATCACACAGCCCGATGGGCTGATGGATTAAGCAAGCTGGTGTCTGTTCCCAGGCTGTAGGAAGCAGGAGTTAGAAAAGTCTCCCTCAGCTGGGAGCCACTGTCTCTAGACAAGATCTTTGCTCTTGCTCAAACATCAACTGTGCTATACTATAGGAGCCCAGTTTTGAGAATCTGAGGTCACCTCTATCAGGTTTTAGATCTGTATTAGTCTAAGGTAAGTACAGAAGCTCCAGGAGCTAAAGGTTTTTCAGCAAGACATGAGCAGGATTCCTTGGGGGTGGGAAGACCTGTGAATGCTTCGTCTGAGCTGCGAGAAACTGTTCTGTCTCGGAAGCAAAGCTGTGAGTTGAGATACAGCACCTCACAGAGTGGACAGGACAGTCAGAGACACTGGAGCTATCTCAGATCTCTGCAGTCACGGACAACAAGAGGGCCTTTAGCCGGAGCAGGCGGACGTACCTTGGTCCTGATCCGGAGGTGAGTGTACGGAACGAACTCGGGCCGCTCGTGCTCGTGCTGTCCTTTCAGGTAGCAGTTCAGCATGCAGACACCGACCCCGGGCAGCGCCACGACGAAGGTCAGGAGCTTCCACAGGCGGGCTGGAAGGAAGCGTTACACGAGTTAGAGCGACGATCGCCATTTCCCCTCGCATTAGCGACCTGCGAGCACGTTAAATGCCATCAGTGCATTAACGAGAAATTGCGCTCCGCGTCCCTCACCAGGGGACGGGTCTCCCTCCCCGTTTTTTTAACGGGAAAAACAGCGCTCCCCTCTCCCTC